CAAGTCTTTTTAAGAAAATCCTACAGGTCTAGACAGAGGTTCCGTTCAGAGATTTTAAGCCTTGGTTCCAACCTAGGCCAACTCCTCCAATGTGCGTAATGTGGAACTACCTTTGGAAACTGTTAGGAAATTGCATTTTGTACAAAACACAATGTCCAGGCTGCTAACCCGTTCAGAGTACAGGGGGCATATGATGCTTTTACTGAAAGATCTGCCTTAGCTACCGGTTGTCTGACCAGCATAGTTTAAGGTGCTGGTAATAATCTTTACAGCCCTAAGTGGCTTGAAGGCTTATTAACCCACTGGCAGATTACTTCGATCACCAGGAGAGGCCATTGTGAGAAAGTTCCCCCTCCCAGAAGCTCAATTATCAGGTCCTAAGGGAGGGCCTGTCTCCTGTGCACCTCCCAGTCTATGTAATGCGCTCCCTAAGGCCACGTATTTGACACCCAGAATCTAGTAAGGTGGTGAAACCCTATCCTTGTATCAAATGTTTGATTGTTAATTATTGTAGTAGATGATTTTAATGTTGGCTTAGATGTTAATGATAGATTTTTTGTTTTGTTTATTTTTGCTTTAAGCTTGAATGTTGGAACTACAGTAAGGCAGGATATAAATTCAATCATCAGTCACATGAATAAGATTTGTCCATTATGGAGCGGCTTTTCACATTGCCCTGTTGCTGATCCACTGGAATGGTGACTTTTCTGATATTCTCCAGCTCACACAGAGGAACACAAACAGCTTAGCCTTGCACAAATAGCAGAGACTTAGTGCATGTTCGAAGGGAGATAATGGTAAAGTATTTTGCCTTTGGGCTAGAAGTGGGTTTTGTGTGGGGGGTGAGGAGAAGGAGAGGGAGAAAAAAGGGGGGACTTTGCAAAATGATATAGAAATATTTTCTTCAAAGCCCTTTTTAGCCCCCAGGAGTCTGTGACGCTCAGCTAGGTCTTGTTTCACCAACATAATATCAATTTATGAATAGCTAGAGGGTTGATAGTGAATGTACTCATTTAGCCAAGGAAGAGATGCTTAATAGCCATTGAAACCACAAACAGCTTGACAACTGTTTGATCAACCAAGATGTCACCTGGAGAGATTAAATGATGCAATTTGTCTTCAAAACAGGCTAAATCATCAGATGGTGGGTCTAGTTTCATTGTTGAGTGTTAAGGGAGAAGAAACATTTAAAAGAATAGATTTATAGACCCTTCCAACCATATTTTCTAGGCCTGTTGTTGTTTTGTTAAGGGAGATTGTGTGAGTTTTAAGCTGTCCTGTATTGGACATTTTACAGCCTGGACTTCTGGGCCAACACAGCTACTTGAAAGTCATCTCTTTTATTTTAGGTAAAACTCGGCAACTGTGTCAGCCCCAAATCCTAATTACTTGGCCAGTTGCAGGAAAAAAAATGTTTCAGCTTATGCTCCTGACAGTTATCTGCTAATTTGGGCAAGAAATGGATAATGCCGATAGCAACGTTTTTGATTAACAATCTGGAGCAATACCCTCCATTATTATAGACTTTTTTTTTTGCTTGTACTAGGAGGGTCTGTGAGAGGGTCAAAAAGGTCAGGATGGTGTCCACAACCATGTTATTAAAGTCCCATCCATTTTTGTGTGTGTTGATGTATTTTTAAAAATGGGGCTTCAATCTCATGGTCACACCACTGGCTTCTTCTAAGTTTTTCAGAATTTCTTTTATTCAAGTTGGGAGGGTGGGTGACAATATTTGACTTTAATGTTGTCATGATCAAAACTGATCAGTTAATTCCAGGATGAATGATTATTCTCAATTTCCAGAAGGTAAGCCTGACTCTGCCTTATCACAAGCACTGTCTCCTGTAAGTGAACAGAGGAGGACATTATCCAAAACAGAAAATTAGAGTTTTGATCCCATGCCAAGCAATTTGTTCTGTCTTTAATCAAGATGTCATCTTTTATCTTCAAATGTCACTATTTGTTATTATTGTTGTTTTAATCCTGTATCAAAACTTTGAACTCTGGGGTGAATAAAGGCTATCAATCATTTAAACTTTCAAGAACTTCAAAGGCTTGCAAATGAGTGAGAAGTCATTTATATTAAATATTATAGCAAGAAACTGAAAGAGGGGAAAAGCCATCAGAGTGACACAGTTAATAAGCTTGAAAACGACAAAGCAATTAGTGGAGAAGAAATGTGTGAATTAGGTGTTCTGAATTCTATAAACCCGATGCAGAAAACGTACAGTATTTTTTTTTTTTTTTAATTTTCACAAAGTTAACATTTTCTCTCTCTCTTTCTCTTACTATTTTGAACAGTTTAATTGTGAGAACTGTTAGGAAATAGGGGAAATAGTATCATTTTATTAAATAAACACATGTAACATAAAAAACTGATGATGATGATGCCAACATTCACTTTCAGTACCCCTGGTCCACCCTCTTTGGCAATTTGCAGTGCTTGTCCCAAATAAAAGCAAACATATATGGACACTTTTTAAAACATTGTAATGTTGGGCCTTGCTAAAGAATAGGTCATACTTCCCCTTTCCCTCCGCTCCACACCTTGATGCCCTTTCCTTCTGCCAGGAATGTCCACAGGGTATGATCAAGAGTCAAGATGGCAACCACAATGGTACAAAGTTCTGACTTTTTTTTTTAATCTGTGTCACCTGTGAAAAGCTTTGATCACACCATTATGACTGTCTTCTTGACTTTTTGGACCATCTCCTGCAGACACCCCTGCCTGTTACACTCAGCTTCTCCATCTTTCCTGGGAGATCATCAAGAGCTCTAACAGGTAACCTTCGCTTCCAATTTTTCTCAGAAGAAACTAAGCTGCTTTCCAAGGTTGAGATGAGGGAATCGTTTGGTTTTCTAACCCAGTTAGGAACGTAACTGAAAGAGTTGATGTTATCATGATGTAGGTTAAGATACATAGGCATCTGTTGGAACTTGACAGCATTATTAGGTGTTCTATGTATGACCCAGCTTCTTCTTATTTATGCATCAAAGTACAAATCATAAGTGAGTAGCAATTCTTTTCTTTTTTTAATTAAAAGTATGAAACAAAATTGAGGCAACCGTCAAAAAGGTGCTGGAATTCATTTTCAAGTCAAAGTAGATTTATTTTTATTTTATTGACTGATTGAATTCATTAGCCACCCAACTCCAATGGGCTTAGATGGTCCTGTCCATGTGTGAAAGGTCTGTGAATAGAGCATACCTCTACTTTTCAGGCAAAGTACAAACATTTCTCACCTTAATTAAATTAATTAAATTAAAAAATTCTCACTAGCTACAACCTCCCCCACTCCCACAATACCAGTCTGATATGCCATTACTCCTCACCTCTGAACTGAGAAAGACTTAACATGGTGTCATAATTTAGCAAATTATTTCCTCAAAAGAAGGTCAAAGATTTTACCATTCGATCAATAAGAAGCAACTTACAAATCATGCGTATTGATCATTGTAATGTTTCAGAGGAATGTAAGACAGTCACTAAAACTACATGCACTTAGTCTTAATTGCCCACATTAAAGCAATTATACCCCAAAACTGTCATTGTCTAAGGCTGCATGAACCATTCTCTTGCATACATCTTTATAACTGCATATAAAATCATAAGGGCTTAAAATATTGCTGGAATTATGAAAATAAGATAGGGGCCTCTTTTCCGCAAAAAGGAAGAATATTAAGGGTGTGATCCCAGGAGGGAAGGGAGAACAGAGCAGTCAGGCACATAAATACATACATTGGAATAAATCTTTCTTCCTCCCATCAGATATTCAAAGAAGGTTACCAGTCCCACCATATTCAGAACAGGTTATAACCAGGAATTCTCTTTGCAGATTGTAAAAGTGCTAATTCTCTTATTTCATTTGTGTTCCCTTCATTCTTCAGTTTCTCAATCAGCAGTAATTTTTCAGACGTGCATGCTCAAACATTAAAATTCACAGGTATATGTGCAAAGTATCAATTAATTCTTCTCTGATCATCCCTTAGCAGCAGATTTAGAGCGGATATACCACAATACCCATTCACAATGGTGGGACTGAAGGAAAATCTCCAGATTGGAATTACACTTCTCTGGAGTCCTTGGTGCTCTCTGAGCTTGGTTCTTTGCTTGCAGACATTTCACTACCCAACTAGGGAACCTCATCAGTGCTAGTGAGTGTGGGGTTTGCTCCCTGTTTATTGTACCCTAATCAAGGAACTACCAAGGAGAAAACCACACCCCACCAACACTGGCAGGGCAAGCTACTGTATATAAACAGGGAGCAAACCCCACACTCAGTAGCACCGATGAGGTTCCCTAGTCGGGTAATGAAACATTTGCAAGCAAAGAACCAAGCTCGGAGAGCACCAAGGACGCCACAGATCAACCCTGAGCTACAGAGATTCTTTTCTATTGTTAAGCTTCTCTCTCCTATAACTGGGAAAAGAAGAGCTACATGTTTCATATTGGATGGGAGTGATCCAGTTCAGTGAAAGCATGCATGTTTTGAATGCATAGTTGGCTCAGCGCTTGGCATTTTCTCTAAAAGGACCAATAACTGATCAACCCTGGAGAGTTCTGTCAAGTTGGAAGTGACCACGCCAAGCAAGATATGAAATAGCCTGACCTGGTGTAGGGAGTAAGGAAGAGGACCTTGGTGGAAATATGCAACCACTATGTAAGCAAAAGGAGATGCAACTTCTTTTAAGTCCTGGGAAACAAGGTAACGTTCAGAAGGGTGCCTCCCTAATTCATTAGGGAGATTCTGTTATTATAGCCAATCTCAATAAAGAGAGTTTGAGTCTTCTTGGTTTGCTCTACCTAGTGGGGTTGTCATCTGGTCTAATATACCATTTCTTAGCTTCCCTTCCTATTAACCAATGTGAGATACTGAGACCATTCCTCACTAGTGATTTATAGTATCGTCCCCTCACTCTAAAATTTTCAGCTGAGGTGTTAGAGATCCAGTTATAGGAACTTGGTTTATTCAATAAAAATACATTTTTGTTGTTTATTCTTGCAAATATGGCCTTGGAAACAATAGAAGGTATTTCCTGCAGGACTGGGATAGAAGATCTCCCCGCTCCTTCCTCCCCCCCCACCCCATACCTCTTTTCTTAACCACAGTTTCATCATGTTCAGTACTGGTAGCAAACTACTTACCACAAAAGCTAAAATTTCCTTTCCAGAGCACAGGTGATAATTAAGATGGGAGTCTTTCCATTGTTCTTCAGGAGACAGAATCTTTCTCAGGTAGATCACAGTAACTTTAAGATGTTGGGGTTCAGATTATAGGATTCAAGCCATCACCCCCACCCCCTGCTCTTCAGCATTAAGTGACTTGTGCAGCTGGGTGTTCAACTATAAAAGGGCACTCTCGACAACTACATTTTAATGTAGCAATTATTTTTAGAAGATACAGAAAAGGACATTCCACAAAAAAGCTTTTAGGACAGCCCTGAAGTCTTAATTGTTCCATTTCCCTGAGTGAATTTTAAGACATTCCTTGTCTTTCAACTACAACTATGCTTTTGATTATAGCATTGCTTGGACTAAACATGTATTATAATTGTGGGTGTTGAATGTATTCCTTTTGGGCAATTGATGATTATGTGACATCTTGACACATAGACTACTTTAGTCAATTGTTGTTGCCTTTAGATTCTCTCTCAGATGTAACAGTTGAGTAACAAGGATGTTTTGCTCCACAACAGAGGTGGACATTTCCTGACATCAAGGCCACGTGTGTTCTCCATTTTTGTGGCCCTCCAAGTCCTCACATTTTGAAATAATAGGACAATGTTGGAGAAGATACCAAACAACTTACCTTTGTTGATTTTTTTTTTAACTAATACTGTGCTAAACATTTGATCTGGACTTTCCCTCTACCAGTTCTCATACAATTGGATGAATAAGGGTTTGCTTTTCTAATATCTCAAAAGTGAGAATTTCAGAGAAATGTTTAGAGATGGAAAGAGGTGTTCCTGCACTTGAGGAGGCAAAGGAATGTATGTGAATGCCCCATTTTTCTCTAACAGGACTCAGTTTCCTGCAGTTCTGTGAAATCTGAAGAAAAGACATCAAGACTGAACGTTTCTGCTGGAGCTCCAGCAGACACTGTCCTGCTCTTTAGAAACTGCTGGAGAATTTTATCTTCCCCTGGGGGG